TGAGCCGACAATTCACTCAAATTTGCGACCATTTCTTGATTACTCTTCTCAGATGTTATCAATTGTTGTTTCAAACTTTCCATCTCTTGTGCCATTATATGCGTTGAATCCTCGGCTGTCATTGAACTATGTTAACGGTTTGCAAACATCTAAATTACATTATAGCAATTATATGCAAAATGCAACTTTTTACCAAATTAAAACTGTTGCAAACATGTTATATATATGTCATATGTAATGATTTAGTTATTTTAATTAATTTACGTCTACTATAATTATTTATTCATAAAGGCACGTTTACCAGGTAACAAATATTATAATTTGTACAATGTTAGAATTATAAATAATATAACAATAAATTAATCATTTTATACACTCATAACGGTATGTAATAAATTATTACAATAAAATAATAATAAATAATTAGCAATTAATACAATTATAGCTTAGCAATCATACACTTGCTACTAGATTTCATAACTTATGAATACAAGTAAAGTTTCTAGCATTACATAAAATTATTAATAGCTTTAACATGATTTAATATAACCATACTAAATTAATTTATTTTAGTTAAAATGAATATACGTATTATAACTTTTGTGTTAACCCTGATTGTTTGTAAAACTCAATCGGTATCTTATCCAATCAGCGGATCAATTGTATCAGATTACCAAGTGACAATTATTGGCAATAATAATAACAACAATAATAATAATGGTCAATTCAATTACTTTATCAATCAATGTTTGTCCAAAATGTACAACCGGTGCACAAAATACCCGGCGCCTAACCTAAGCAATACACAGTATTACTATTGCTGTGTACTGTGGGAAACAATTGACTGTTATCAAGCAAATGTCCAGGTTCATTTAAAACAAGATTATTTTATATTTAAATATTTAGAATAATATTAAATGATAAATATAATTTTAATTATGTTTATTAATATTTATTTAGTCAACATGCACAGTCCAGGAACAGGCAGCCATGGGAAGCAACTGGAATAATATCCAAATGATGCTAGGTGGTTTGCAGTACACACAGCAAACTTGTAATACTATTGGCTATTACAGGTCGGGCAGCAGATCTATTTGTAGAGATGGTAATCGACCAGGTAGTTACCAACCCGGATGGTAACCAGGCTATCAACTACCTGGCAATCAGTTACCTGAGTACAGACCGGGTTACCCAGTTGGCTAAATACAAATTAGTTTGCTTAAATTTATTTAATTAAATATAAATTGTATATTTTATTTTGTTTTTCATGTAAACTTTATATTTATTAAACATCGAATTTAATTAGTATTTGTAGATTATAGTGTGACGGTTCTTGTGTTGTGTGGCGGTGTTCAGAGAGGGCGCGCGCTTTGTGGGTGAATTCGAGTTAACCTTCGGGACGGGATAACTCGGGAACTACTGGATTGTTCGGGACTTTTAATGGCTCGAATGAAAGGTCTCGATGAGAGGAACAATTTGCGGTGGTGATTGACTTTGAGTAAGTCAACTGAGCTGATCCAGAGGTCGGTGAAGGCGGTGATGGGTGTAGGTGATGTGTGCGCGCGAGTTGTGAGTGAGTGTGTGTGTTGGTGGGAACACCTGGTGAATACGAACCGTACGGGACGGTAGATTGGCGACCAGAATCGGGTGACGCCCGGGTCTTACCGTCGGGTGAAGTGTGAATTGTGGTGAATGGGTTTGAGTGTGTTGTGAGTGGGTTGGGGGTGAATGCCTGTCTTTGGGCGATTTGTGGTAACAATTGATTGGTGGACTTGTGAACGGTCGGGTGTATAGTGTGTAAAGTTTGATAGTATGAGACCGCGGGTCACTCGCTTCTTAAAAAGCCGGACTCTCGCGGGTAGAAGTGAAAAATGAAAGTGCAATAAGAAAGACCGTGATTTTGGGTGAAACTGAACTGAAACTGTGTTTATTGAAAATGAATGGTAATGTCTTAAAGTACAGCATATTGTGGTGTGTGAGTGAATAACATTTGTTTTTATATTTTACAATAGGTTTGAATGTGTTTTTCCTGCTAATTATGGTATGTATTGAAAGCTATTGATTTATACATTGAAATTCTGTGTAAATTCTAAATTGTAATTAAATCTAAATACGATTAAATTGATAAAAACATAGTTTTGTTGATTGTCTTGAGATGTGTTGAGATGGTGATGAAATATGGTGAAATGCTGCTTATTCTTGGAAATGAGGAGTTCTGGTGTTGGTTAGCACATAGGTGTGAACTTTGAGAGAACTTTTGAATTCTAGGAATTGAGTGTTTGAGTGATATTGTATGTAAAAGTGTGGTAAGTATTCTTCTGTCTTTGTGTGGAAGTGCTTAGGTGATGTATTATTGAAAATCTTCACAATAGTATTAAAGTTAAAAATTATGAAGGTGGAATGAGGTTCCACAAGTACCTCTAGTGGTGGCAACGGTTCCTTCAAATGGCATTTAAATGTTTCCACCTACCGAGGTGGTATGAGATGAATTTTTTTAATTTTATTAAAAATGTAAAAAGGTCACACGTCGTTTACACGTTATTATTTGGTTTAATAGCGTTATTATTTAGTGTAAATCTACATGACCAATTGGATTAAATTTAATTTTACAATGACGTATTTGAATACGTTAAGAGGCCCTCGTCGGGACGCTGGGCAAACTGGTCGAAATCGGGATTATCCCGATGAAATCAGGACGGTTGGTTACTCTAATGTATTACAATAAACAATCATTTTAAAACTTAATGGGCAAAATTAATGACAATAACTAAAGCACTTTAGTATTCTAATATTTGTAGTTTATTTTTATGTTAGTAATTATTTTATAACTTATAAATTATAAGTAAGGCAACAATTTTATATTGGAAAATAAAATAAATTTCTGAGAATTGACATATTATGTGTTATGTCAAATTCTAATATTTAATAAAAATTGATATAAAATTTAACTGAAACATAATATTTTATTATAAAAGAATTCTGGTAGATTAATTTAGTTTTTGCTGTAACCAGGTTAAAGTACCTTTCACCCTTCACCTTTTAGACTATAATAATATATGGAAATTGTTAATCGTATGAATAATGTTAAGTCTATGGCTAATATTAATTTTATAGACAATGTAAATCTTATGGCTAATCTAAAGAAAAAAGTAATGGGTAAAAAGTTAAGAGGGTTTTTGAATATATTCCACAAAATGCCCTGGGAATAAATTATAGGTTTACAAGAATTAACAGCATTTATATTTTAAAAATCAAAACAGTTCATTTATTTATAAACATTTTAATTAATACTATTATTAATTTATCATAATAAATTTTTCAGTAAATGTAATCACTGCTAAAATAGTTTTAATGAAATTTAGCATTTATTAAATAAGCTGTAAAAATTTATTAAATAACAATTTATCATAATAAGACATTCAATTTTATAGCTTATTGGCATAAACTGCACAAATGCATATATTCTTTATAAATTAATTGTGGTTAAAATTATTTTTAATAAGCAAATATTAAATTAAGTTAATTTTATCACAGATCTAAAAAATAAAATCATTGATAATACATTATTAAATTTATCACATTTAATGTTACAGATCATGTTTTCTATATTAATACACATGTATGTATGTAGATGTATGTATGTATGTATGTATGTAGATGTATGTATGTATTATGTAAATGTGTAGATATATTATGTAGATATTATCTAATAATAAACTGTAACTAATTGATTAAATATCAATTTATCATAATTGACAATTATGTTTACAATGTTATTGGCTTAAAAATGGTTTTTACATTTAAGTAAAAAATACACTAAATATTTTGTAACGAAATTATTTTATATTGTTATATAAAATTAATTTTACTAATGAATTTCTAGCTAGTTGTTACAAATTCTTTATTAGATTTATCTCATTTATTGTTAAAATAATGTTATTTTATAATACGTTAAGTAATAGTATTTACTACATTTCTAATAATAAACTGTAACTTGTAACTTGAATGTCAAAGTATCATAATCAACAATTATGGTTAAAAACTTAATAGACAGAAACGGCACAGGCTAATCTGCCCTGTACACGGCATTGTCGGGCAAACGTTGACGTGTGCCCGGCTTGCCCGGGCAGACGTTCGACGTGCCCGCCATGCCCGGGCATACTTTTTAATTGTGCCCGGGTCATCCGGGGAGACTGTATTAACTACATATACTGTACAACGCCAAACATATCCGGGATAACTGTATTAATTAAATAAATGAAATAGGCATATCCGGGACAACTGTAGTGACAAAATATAATGCACTAAGCATATCCGGTGAAAATTATAATAACCAAATATAATGGGCCTGGTATATGCGGGATAACTGTATTAGCTAACTATATTGGGCTTGCATATCCGGGTCAACTGTATTAATCAAATTTTATGATTTTACTTCTTCATGATAAAGATTACACAATTATAAATATGTAAAAATTAAATAGTTAATTCATTTCAAAAAAATTACAATTACTTATTAAATAATCTAAATAGTTAAACACCATTAATTCAAACATAAAATATATGAATTAATTTAAAAAAGTTAATAAATATTTTGTATTATTTTATTAATAATTATAATAAATTATATCGGACTATTAAATGTTTTACATACTTATAATTGTGTAAACTTTATAATGATGACGTAATACAATAAAAATTATTCACAATAAAATTTGGTTAATCCAGTTTTCCCGGATATACTAGGCAAATCTTATTTGGTTATTACAGTTGCCACCGGATATGCTTAATCCATTATATTTGGTTACTACAGTTGTCCCGGACATTCCATTTCCATTATATTAAGTTAATACAGTTATCACGGATATGTTGGGCGTTTTATATGTGGTTAATACAGTCTGCCCGGATATTCCGGGCACATGTCAAAAGTATGCCCGGGCATGGCGGGCACGTCAAACGTCTGCCCGGGCAAGCCGGGCAAAAGTCAACGTCTGCCCGG